GTGCGCGCAGCAACCTGCAACTGCAGTTAAACGCACTGCTGAAAAGGGTGACAGCCCAAAGAAGAAGAGTGCTCAACTGGACTCTACTGTTCTGGGTGACAGTGACGTGGAGTCTCCACCATCTGATGACAACAATAAAGTGAATCCAAGGACTGTGAACACACAGAAGAAGGCAGCTGACCTCGCCAATAAAGTTTGCATTACCAGTAATGTGCAAATTACTCCACCTTCTACTTCTACTGACGCCCCCAACGCACACCTCTTTGAGAAGCCGGCGCCTCTATTTCTGGCCAACGTCACGGACATCATGTCGATTCTCATTCGGCTGGATGAAGCCATCGGCCAGGCCAATTATGACGTCAAACGCTCCTCCAACCACGGAATCAGAGTCCAGTGCAAGGATATCGCCACCTATCGCAAACTGGTAAAGTATTTAGACGACAATAAAGTTGAAAACTACACGTTTCAGTTGAAGTCTGAGCGAGGCTTCAGAGCCATTATCAGAGATCTGCACTATTCCACTCCGGACCACTATATCCGTGAGAAATTAGCCAATCTAGGGCATCAAGTTCGCTTCTTGAGAGGCATAAAATCTCGTTTCACTAAAGAGCCGCTTGATCTCTTTGAAGTTGAGTTAGCTCCCAGTGCTAATAATGCTGAATTCATGCAAATCACTGCCATCGGCAATCAGCGCGTCAAAATTGAGAAGCCGTACAAATCCAGCGAAGTTGCTCAATGCCATAGATGCCAGAAATATGGACACACCAAAAATTATTGCCGTCGCCCCTTTGCCTGTGTCAAGTGTGGCGGTAACCATGCCTCCACGGACTGTGGCAGGCAAAAAGGCGAACAAACTCCAGCAAAGTGTGCCAACTGTGCTGGCCCACACGCTGCGAGCTACAAAGGTTGCCCTTCTTATAAAGAAGCGTGCAAGAAGCGCGAAAATGAAGGCGCACACCAGATAGCAAAGCTAATAAACAATCTAGCCAAGCCTGCCCCCACTGCTACTGCTCAGCGCAGTCGCTCAAATATGCCAAATATGACTAATATGCCAAATCTTTTGCAGCAAGTCCCCCCTCAGTCACGACCGCAAACAGTTAGTGGGCCCAGCTATTCGGCTGCCCTTCGGGCGGGTTTAGAATTTGCTCAGCCTATCGGGCCGGCAGCAATCAGCAGCAAACAACGTCAGTCCAGACAAAAAGCCACAAAACGTAGCCAACAACAACAGCTCTTGCAGCAACAACAGCAGCAGCAACAAGTTCGTTTACCTAGGCAGGCAAGCGTACAGCGGCCGTTGCAGCCAATGCGTAGCCGCAGCCTGAGTACGCGCCGTAGGCGTCCACAGCACGTAGATGGGGGTGCGCATCCTAATAGTGGGGGTGTTTATTCTCATCGTTTCGAGCAGCCAATAAATGCGAATATGCCAAGCCTCAGATTTGAGCCCAATCAGAATAATCAAATCGTTGAATTGCTGACCAACCTCATGGCCTACCTGGTGGCCAAATTTGGTCCCATTGAGAGCCATAATGTCCAATAACATATCCACTGCGCCAAATGCCAGTAGACGCTGCGCTGCACTGCTGCCTGGCGTATCTCAACGTGTCAACAACATCAAGATATCTTTTTGGAATGCTGCTGGTGTCAAGAAAAAGCTTAATGAGCTCAATCTGTATCTCGTCAAGCACGATATAGACATTATGCTTGTGTCTGAGACGCATCTGATTGAAAGCGATAGCATTGCTATTAATGGCTATTTCGTTTATTTAGCAAACCACCCCTCAAACAGGAGGAGAGGAGGTGCAGCTTTCATAATTAAACAAAATATAAGTCATTATGCTATGCGCTGTACATCAAATGATTCGCATCAATCTGTCGAAGTTTCAGTCAGCTTGCAAAACGGCAGACACATCAACATCGTAGCCATCTACTGCCCGCCGCAAGCCATTTGGTCTGGACAAGATTTCAACAACCTACTTACTTCTCTGGGTGATGCTTTTATAGTAGGCGGGGACTGGAATGCGAAAAGCCAGTGGTGGGGCAATGCCAGATCCTGTCTCCGTGGCCGCACACTAGTCAATAGTATTCTGCAAGTGAATTGCAACATTTTGGCAACTGGATCGCCCACCCACTATCCATTTAATTCTCGCCAAACTCCGTCTGCAATTGACTTTGCGCTTTTTAAAGGCATCAGACGTGAATTGCTGGCCATCACTGACTCTTTCGAGCTCAGCTCTGACCATCTTCCGTTGCAAGTTCAGCTGGTCGAGAAGCCAACCACTAACAATGCAAAAGGCCATCTTCTGCATCTGAATGCTAACATCAACAAGTTCCAGTCCTATCTAAATGACAAAATCTTGCTCAACACTGAGATCAACAGTGCGGATGATGTCGATGATGCTGTAAACATCTTCGTCAAAAACATTGAAGATGCTGCAAATTATGCTAATCCACAAAACCCACGCAAGTTAACGAGGACTAGATTTCGAGTAAATAGACAAACTCTGCTACTTATCGAGGCCCGCAAGCAAATCAAGCGCTATCTCCTTCGAAATCGCAATCCATTGGCGAAGCAGCTCTACAACAGGCTTTCGAATCGCATACGCAAAGAGCTTATAGTTGCTAGGCAGATGTATGAGGAAGAGCTATTTAAATCGATTGATCCAACTGATAGATATAGTATGCAGAAACTCTGGCGACTGACCAACGAAATCAAGCGACAGCCTGCCCCTAATCTACCGCTGCTGAAGTCCTCCAGTGGCAATGGCTCTAATGCTCATAACGTCTGGTGCAAGACTACTGCCGAGAAGGTTGAAACATTTGCTGCAAGTCTTGAGCAGCGTTTCCATCCCATCGTGACCACGTCACCCAGTGATCTGGCTGAGATTGAGGCTCAAGTCAGCCAGCCATCTGTGACTCCTTCAGTCTTATTTCGGCCAGTCACTGCGGCTGAAGTCATCAGTCACATCAGCACGCTAGAGAATAAGAAAGCGGCTGGTCTGGATCAAATTGACAATCACACTATTAAAGCGCTGCCAATGAAGGCCATTCTGTATCTCGTTCTGATCTGCAACAACTCTTTTAGATTGGGCCATTTCCCCTCTTGCTGGAAGCTAGCGATGGTGAAGATGGTCCATAAGCCTGGCAAGCCTACGCAACTTGTCTCATCATACAGGCCAATAAGCCTTCTATCTGGCCTCTCAAAGATACTCGAGTACCTGATATTGAGCCGTATGCTGGAACAAGATACTCTTGTAAATGCTATCCCAAGCCATCAATTTGGATTCCGCAAGGCACATTCAGCTGAACAGCAATTGGGTCGAGTCACCCAGTATATTATTAAAGCTTTTGATGACCATAAATACTGCTCTGCAGTCTATATGGACATTAAAGAAGCTTTTGATCGAGTGTGGCATACAGGCTTGAAATTCAAACTCAAGTCACTATTGCCGTTTGCACTCTATCGCATTCTCTGTTGCTATCTAGCAGATCGCTCTTTTATTGTTGAGTGCCACGGTGGATGTCGCTCAGGAGTCAGACAGATTCACGCTGGTGTGCCACAAGGCAGCCTGCTTGGGCCAGTTCTATATAATTTATACACCAGTGACATGCCAAGACCAACTTGCTTAAATGGAATTCGTATTGCCACCTACGCTGATGACGTCATTGTTCTCTCAGCTAACTATCGTCAAACAGATGCGCTTAATCAACAGCAAGCATACATGCATATGCTGACTGAATGGGCAAGCAAGTGGTGCATTACAATTAATGCAAATAAAACAACGCACATCCTGCATACCCTCAGACCTATAGCGGCATACCAGGCTATTCGCATCGGCAGCGAAACTATTGAGAATAGCACCTCACATCCATATCTGGGCGTTACGTTAGATTCTAGACTGCGCTTCACTCAACATGTCACTACGGTCGTTTCTAGGGTTAGGGCTAGGCTCAAAAAGATAGATTGGCTCGTAAATAAAGATAGTAAATTATCTATGAAAACTAAAACTATCTTATACAACCAGCTTGTTGCCCCACTATGGCAATACTCGCTACCTGTATGGGGTGCTCTTCTATCTGAGACCCAATTCAGCCGCATTAGAGTGGCTCATAATAAAGCTCTTAGAGCCATATCTGGTGCTCAGTACTTTGTCTCTAATGCTCGCATCAGATCTTCTCTGGATGTCCTATCTGCAGATGATATATTCATCAAACTCTGCACAAAGTACTTCGACAGGCTACGAGTACATAGCAACAACGAAGCTAGAAAGATTGTCTATGATCCGTTTATCCCTCAGCGAATAGCTATGCCCAGATACACGAATCTCGTCAACACTCTCTTGGCTAACGATATCGCTCTGCGCAGTCAGCGACAACTGCAAAGAGAAGCTGATGAAGATGCTGAATTTAGAGAGAGATACCGTCGCCTACATCCGCCAGAGTTTGGTCCAATCACTTTTCGCGAGCACAGCAGACGACTAATAATAGAGCGATTCACTAGGTCGTATCCAGATCCGCCTCGCAACTCCAATGGGAATCGACGCAATAATGACCCACCGATCGACCTTGCTGCACACACACCTGCCTCTGGAGTGGCTCAAAATATAGGCGACGCAGCTGCCTTGCATTCGCGCCTGCCTATATTCCAAGAGTTGGCGCCGTCACCACCCACCACGGCCTCCATGCGCCCACCCGTCATCAACCTGGATGATCTACCAGACTGATCAAGTCTACTCTTCTCTAGAGGCTTTTAGCCAGACATGCAAATAAGTATCAAATCTAAGTTCCATTCAAACTAGTCATTCGTATATACAAATAACACAATTATAAATCTACTATTTCACTATCTACATAGAAGAATGACTAAACTAATATATAACAACAATTTAGATATCTATTTACAGCACAAATGTTTATTTTCAGCACATTTGTATATGCATATGTGCATCGAACAGACATAGTGGCGCCTGCGCCTACAATATGCAATTTAAATGAACTTAAAACTAACTTAAATACATACCCTATTGGCCGCGGAGCCCACTTGGCTAATCCTCCTTGCTGCAGTGGATGTACTCTGCAAAGAAAAAATCAATATTAATAATCTTTTAACACTTTTATAAAACTCTGCAAAATTCACTTACTTGCCAGTTAGTTTGCAATCCATACAATTCCATTGCGTCCAATGTTTGCGCTCCCTTGCATTTTGCTTCGCAGCAGCTATATATGTATAAAAAAGTCTGCAATTAATCAGAATTAATTTATAATATTATTAATACCATTTATTTACCTTTTAATATTTACTCCAATTAGCAGCATCTAAT